ATATATATGTATATATATATGTATATGTATATATATATATATATCATCTCTATCATTTTTACTGTAGTTTATCATTGCCATTGTTTCCTGTTCTGTCTGGAGCAGGTCTCTTGTAAATGAGTCCTTGTGGCTCCATGAAGCCAACCTGTATAAACCTGTGACAGTAACAAAGAGTGATGACAACAGTGGATAACAAACTGTTTTTCAATTGTAAAACAAACAAACAATAAAAATTTGTCTGAATCATTTGTGAATGTGTATTGTTGTTGTTGTTATCACTGTCTTATTGTCTTGTGCTGCTGCTCTGGTCCAGTGTCTTCATGGACGATGTGTGTGAGGGTGGACATGTTTGGAGGTTGCTGTGTTGAAGCTCCATGGATCAGCCTCTCTGCAGCTCTCAGCACCTTCACTGAGCCTTGAGGGAATCACTGAGCTGCTGTTGTTCTTCACAGTTAGAAGGTGGGAGCTCTCGTCAAATGATGATCTCCAGCATCATCTTGTTCATGCCAGGCTTTTCATCCACTGACCACAGACACCTGGAAACATCAGGGGGACCAGTAGCTGTTTAACACATCTGGAAGGAAACAAGTGAGATTTTAATATGACCATGACCATTATGATATGATGTTATGTGGGGGAGTGGTGGAGCAGAGGTTAGAAGATGGGCCTGTGATAGGAAAGTCGCAGGTTCAACTGCCGGTACCATCAACATCAAAATGTGGGTGGAAAAGGTGAAAACCCACACCTGCCTCCACCCTTATTGGCCCCACCCTGGTCCCCTGAGCAAGGCACTCAACCCCCACCATCTGCTCCTAAACAGGTCTCTCTAGAAAACGAGTTCTCGTGACTCAATGAAACTACCTGGATAAATAAAGGTAAATGAAAAAATAAAAGTTTAAAATAGAAATACTCACATCATGAGGCCGAGGTTGTGTGTGAGACGTGCACGTTCCTGAGAGTGTGTGTGGGACGTGCACGTTCCTGAGAGGCCACAGACAGAGCAGCTCCAGCTTTTGTTGAGTTCCTGTAGTCCTGCAGTTTTCAAGCTGAAATGAAAAAACATCATGAATATGAACTTTACAGTCTATAGTTACCTGTTCATATAAACACATGGAGGTGTCTCACCTTGTGACTGACAATAAAATATGTACATTTATGAACGTTAATGAACTTATAATGATGCTCCTACTCTTTGAAGGTGAACCGATGGTACCACACCATCTCTCAGTCAGACAGTCTGATCAGTTTGATCAAAATCCTCCAGTTTAAAATCCTCACTGCTCAGATGAATCCTCCTCAAAGATACTTCCTCCTCTTCCTCACATCTTGTTCTTTTGAAATACTGAGTATGCTTGTTAGAAAAATATTCCTGTCATCAGATCTCAGTCAGCTTCATTGCAGCTGAACACGTGTTACACCAGCGTCCTATAAAGAGAAAAAAAGATGACCGTTCCAAGATGGCGACCGAAATTCCTGCCAATGAGGGATCTAGTGATTATATGATATCTATGAACAGTACCATGCTGCTAATGGGACCATGCTGCTGTGGTTCGGTAACAACTGGTCAGCAGGGGTCGCTGTTCTACAGGGAAACTCAGAGGAAGCAGCATACACATGGATCAGGACATCATACAGCAGTTTACAGACACCAATGGTAGATGGACTATTCTAGTAGTTGATATTGATCAGATACAATTTATAATAATAAATATTTATGGCTTCAACAACCAAAAACTGTACACAGCAGATTTAGAGAATGAAGAAAGTATGGACGTATTCCTTAAGGAGCCAAAATGAGGATTCCAATGCTAATGACCACTCCTTTAACACCTTTTGTAATTAATTTAAAAGAAATTAAAGAAGGTATTTGTGCTATGAAACAAAATAAATCCCCTGGGAATGAAGGTTTAACAAGTGCGTTTTATAAATATTTTACTGATTCCCCATTCATGAAAGCTGTTTGAGGAAGCAATAATCGAAGAAGAGCTCCCCCTTCTCTTCGTCAAAGCTTGACTAAATTAATTCCAAAACCAAACAAAGATCAACTTAATATAGAGACTTGGAGAGCCAGTACTTTATTAAATAATGACATTAAGATATTTGCACTTATGTTTGATTAAAGATTAAAGCAGAGCTAAATAATATTGGAACAATCTGGTTTCATGTCAGGCAGGAACATCTGCAACAACATCTGTTTGGTTTTAGATATGTTCAATTACAATGAATATATAATATATAGTTTTATATTTTTCGTCTATTTCTATAAAGCATTTGACACTATAAGCCATGAATTTATGTTTAAAACCATACAACATTTTGGATTCTGAAAGTTTTTGTACGAGAGCGATCGCCACTCTTTACAAAGGTACGTCAGTTAAAGTGGCCTCTGGTACTTCACCGAGATTTGATGTCAGCCGTGGAATCAGACAAGGTTCTCCTCTAAGCCCGGTTTTACTCCTCCTTGTCACACAGGTCATGGCAGTACATCTCAAAAAGGTTAATTTCAGGGAAGCAGAACCCTGGGAGCAGAATTTAAATGATCACAACTGGTTGATGACACAGATATCGTCCCTTCCAATGGATATGAAATAGGTAAAGCTTGTATCCAAGAACTTTCCTCAGTCTCGGGATTGAAAATGAATCTTAACAAGTCTGTCCTATTTACTCTCAAAAATCCTAATCTCACAGAAATATGTCCTGTTATGTCCAAAATCACATACTTGGGAGTGACAAATGAAAAAGATCAAAAGTCACGTAGCGCCACCAACTTTAACCAAATAAGTGAACAACTAAGTAAAAAATGTAACATGTGGTTAATGAGGGGTCTGTCCTTAAACGAGTGTTGTTATCAAAGGCAGGAGGTATCTCCAGATCTGTTTATGTATCCTGATCACTAGATATGACCAAAGATTTTAAACAAAAATAGATCAAACATTATTCAATTTCATGTGTAAAAATAGAAACCATTATCTGAAGAAAGATGTTTTATGCAATCCTAAGAAATATGGGGGTCTAGAGATATATAATAATGAATCAATATGGAATACTGTTCCCAATTATATTTTTAAACTTTTGGGTGGGCCTAAATTTTTACTTAAGTGTGATTATAAAATTGAGAAACTCCCAGTAAAAGTGTCAAACTTCAGCTCTTCTAGCCTGGAAACTTTACAAACACAACTTCTCTCCTACTAGTTGTTATATCTGGAATAATGGGAACATTTGATATAAGAATAAATCACTTTTATAGGAACTGGATGGAACATGGTATCACACAACAGATGTTTAATGATGAAGGGAATCTCTTTTCTTATAAATAATTTTTATGCAAATTTAATTTGCCTGCTACCTCAGGACAATATGCAACAGTTTTTTCTGCACTACCTAACGGAAAGCTGCAACTCCACCGTGGTGCAACTACGAACACTAAATATCTCCCTAAAAACAGGTTATGATTGGAGATGTTGATATCACCAGGTCCTATTGATCTTCTCTATACGGTGAATTTGATTGGAACCTATTGGCTGATTGGAGAAAAATACTCTGAACTACAAGGTAAAGGAGATTCCCTTCAAGTTTTTACACATTTATCCAGTGAAAAAGATATTTGAACGATTTCAGCTTGTAGTTGACTACTCTTGTTCTTTCTATGAACCCATATTGAAACAATTTCACATTTATTTGTTCAATGTGCATAGAGTAAGATATTCTGGACTGACTTAAAACACTATATACAACATAAAACCAGGCAAAGAATCACCTTTGATGAAAGAGACATTGTAATTTTTTAAATAATAAAGATATGGACAAAGACACAGCCCGTTTTATACAACTGCTGCTCCTCGGGAAATGTCACATTCATAAAGACAAATGGTCCAACTCCAAATCAAACTTTGGATCCTTCCTCCAAGAACTGTTTAAGTATGACTCAAAGTATTGGACTCAAATATCAAATACATCCCCAACAAGAAGCAAAGACGATTCTTGACAAATCCAACATTCGTGACCCATCATGTCATGTTCCCCCGGCAATCTGTTTATATTATTCATGTCTGGTTGACAACCAGTTTTGTACGTCTATAATTTTCAATAAAGATAAATAAAAATAAATAAACGTTGGTTTCGATACTAATCGATATCTGGATCGATCCGCCCGCATGCTCCTCTCCCACCAGCAGGGGGCGCTGAGGCGCCTCACGTTGTCTGCCCACCGCCATGAAACACCCGAAGAAGGAAACGAGACACAAATTGTTTTACCGTTTAAAATGACGAAGTGTGTCTGTAGTCGACGGCGCGTTCAGTAACTACCAGCCGTGTTAGTACTTTGTGTTTTATCTGTTGTTACTGAGCGCGTTGAGTGGCGGCAGCTCGACATGATGGCGGCCAGCAGCGGCTCGTCGGCTCCATCCTCCTCCATCAACTCCACTCTCCCTCCGCCGAGGACCCGCATCTTTAAAATCATCGTCATCGGGGACTCGGGCGTCGGGAAGACCTGCCTCACGTACCGCTTCTGTGCCGGCAAGTTCCCCGAGAAGACGGAGGCCACGATCGGAGTGGACTTCCGGGAGAGGCTGGTGGAGATCGACGGAGAGAAGATCAAGGTGCTCTCCTCACACACACACGCACACACTCACACACACACACACACACACACACGCATCACTCCATGAAGCTGCAGCAACACAAATGATGCCTGCCGATCAGTAGCGTCTTATTGGACTTATTGGAACGATTCCCTTCCATACACACCTCATAGCCTCACTTTGTCCCAACAACAACACAAAACTGGACCAAAGCAAGAAAAAAGGCTGTAAACATGAATGTTGGTTAGCTGGAGGATCTAATGAGGATCTAACGATGATCTAATGAGGATCTAACGATGAT